ATTTCATATCTCAATAGAGAAGATACTATGTAGGAAAGTTATAACTTGCACAATGAAATAATTTCTTTCAGAACTTTTTGATCGTGTAAAGTTTAAAGTTGAAATTCGAAAGTCAATATTTCAAATGATCTGAGCTCTTTGTTGAAAACGTGAAGTGATTATAGTGAACTTTCAATTATTAGATGTGCATCTTAACTGTACTATGAAAGCTTAACATTTTTAAAATTAGTTCTTTAGAAGTCATAAGTATTCTAGACAAAATTTTCAGCCAATTTTGAAAGCAATTGCTGTGAACAAAATCAAAATATTTGCTTTTTTTCTTATGTTAAAAGGAACCATTTTTCTCAAACTTCTTTTTTTATAAATTTGATTTAATAAACTTCAGAAAACATCTTACAATAACGCTTAGTATACAATTTGATGCAATTTCATCTTCTATTTCCAATGGTGAAAACCTCAGCACTATATTTTTGTTTCTATCAAAAGTTATTCAAAACATACCCATTTGCCTCTTTTTGTTTGCGTAACTTTTCCGAGTTTTTCTTGTAAAAAATAACACAATGATATATATGTTTACTGTTAACAATCTATTGAAATTATGATTGGAGTAAAATATTCAATGGTGCATCTTTTAAAAAACAAAACATCAATATTTTATTATGTTCCTGAACACAATTACAATGCAATATTTTTTTCACACCTAATATTCATTCATCTTATAACTAAAAAAAAATGTTTTGGTCGATAATTTTATTCATAAATATGTTAAACTTGTATGAATCCAATCAAGATAAAAACTAATACGTGTATAAACACCCGATGAAATTGATGCATCACATTGTTTATTTCCATAACTTACAATACCTGCAGCAACAAAATATTCTTGATTATCATCATATTCAATAACAACTAATGGAGCTCCACTATCACCTGAACATGCATCAATTGAAAGACTATCATAACCAGCACATAATTGTCGAGATTTATCATTTATTGATTGTTTACATTTAATATTTTTATGATCAACAATAGGTATAACAGCATGTTGAAGAATTGGAGAATTTCGACTATTTGGTTTTGATATAGTTTTTCCCCAACCACTTATAATTGCTTGTGTTTTAGCACGAGGATAACTATTAGATTTTTTTTTTGGTAGACAACAAGATTGAAGATCTTTTGCAAATGATTTTTTTATTTTAATAATAGCAATATCATTAAGATGCATACTATCATTAATTCGATAGTCTGAATGAATTATCCATTTATCAATATCATGTCGATTACCTTTAAATTTTCGTAAATCATGAATTTTTGATAATATTTGTATTCGATTAGATTTTCGATTATTTAAACAATGAGCAGCTGTTAGAATTATATTTGATGATATAATAAATCCAGCACAAAATGGTTCTATTCCATTTCGTTCAGTTAATGAAACAAGCCATGGATATATATAAGGTGGTGCTTGTTGACCACCAACTATTTTTGGAATAAATGATGTTATATTATCAGAATTTGGACAACCACATGAATGTTGATTACAGATAACATTAGGATAAGATAAAACAGATGATATTGTATTATTTCGATGATGAATAAAATAAATAATAATTAAAGAAATCAATGAAGCAATGACCAATAAACCACTCAAACTACTAAGACCGATTGATATATATCGACATAAAGACTTCCGATGATTTTTCTGTAATGATTGTGTTATCATAGAAGGTTCTTGTTGTTGCATGATTATTTTTTTGTTATTGCTATTCTCGATACAACCTATGTTCTATTCTGTACCACAATAAAAAAAACACGATATCAAAAGAGATTTATTTTGACCTTATTGGAGATTAACAATCGATGAATCAGTTCTTTTTTATTTTTCGAAAATATGGTTGTTTTTTTATTAATACATTAAAAAAAAATTTATACAGAATTTGTTTTTTTTATTATTCAACATAAATAACATGCCTATCATCATCATCATCATCATCAGTTGCTGCATTACTGTCTTTAGACGATATAGTTCTTTCGGTTTTATCAAATGATTGTGTCTGTGAAGATGGTAATTCAGTAGTCATATTATTAAAATAATGTTCTATTCCAGGAAATGTCTCGTGTGGTAATTGATTACAACAAGTATATATTTTCATATGTTTTCTATGTTTTTCTAATTGTTCAATTAATTGCATTTGAAGTTGATGACAATTTTCTTTTTTTTTATTTAAATTGACGTCGTCTTCTATTTTATCTTCATTTGTAGCAATAACAACTGAAAGAAAATATCACTATGTAAAGTGCACATAATGCAAAATTTAAGTGTATTTTATTTTTCATTGATTTACATAAGGTTTGATAGGGGCGGTTACGAATATATACTTTTTATTTTAATTAGATTAATCCTTTATTGAAAAACAGCTTTAAATAATGATAAGGCTAAAGATATAAATAAAATCATTTTGTTCTCAAAACAACTCTTAAGAAGAGCTTCCTCTCTGCCCTTTTCCAAGGTTTTTGAAGAACAGCTAATGAGAAATATTTGAAACTTTCACGATAGATAGATTTCGATGAGTAGAATAAAACTTAGTAAAGATTCCAAATACTTCCTTATAGACAAGATCAGGGTCGCAAAGGTTAAAAAATTGCCTGACTTTCTCAACTGTAATAAATTCAATAGATTTGAAATTTCTTTTATAGATATTCGACACTATTTGAGATGCTGACGCTTTTTGTTTTTCTCTTATCGCCTTTCGTTCGAATAAAAAGATCAAAATGTTGAGTGTACCTCCGAAAATACATGTCTTTTTTTTTTTGTAAAATCTGTCAAAAATTAATAAAGCAATATTTTTTAAAACAAAAATAAAAGGAAGCATCAAAAACAACTTTCAAGGAGAAAATTCCGTACTTTTTTTTGTGTAAAAATTGATTTCGAACAAAACAAAAAACAAATTTTTCTGTATCTATCAGAGTTTTTTTTTTCTCCAACTAAAGTGATTGAAAACTGGTAGTTTTGGAAGTTCACGAGCTACGCTCTCAACACCTTTGGAATAAGAACGAAAAGCTTTCATTTATACGGGTCTCTTAAGTTTCTACTGTGTGAGGCAAAATATCTAAGCAAAAATAAATAATAAAGTGTTGAATTTTTTTCCAAAAGATGTGTCATTGCATCCTCTACATTATTTAAAGTAACAGATTCTCTCGACTTGTAATGATAAATCTACAGGGTGCTAAAATGAAAGAAGTGCAATGTGTTCTAATATCTCACTCTAACTATGATATAAACACTCGAGAAAAGACAGATTTACTAAGAAAACGTCGAACGAAAAAATGTCGAAAGAAAAAACGTCGAAAAAAATGTCTCAAAAAATAAATGTCGAAGAAAAAAACGTCGAAGGAAAAAATATCGAAAGAAAAAAAATCGAATGAAAAAAAATGTCGAATCAATGAAAATGTTGTTAGATGAAAAATATAAAATATTTCTTTTATTTCATTCAAAAAAAAGAACAATACGTTCATTGATAACGACAAATAGCTATAAAAAATGAATCATTCGATAGGTCCAGATAGGGATGCGCAGTTTCACTTTACTGATAACTGAGATACTGAGCACTGAGTACTGGATACACTGCACCGACAACACTGTCAGTGGCATTCAACTGACACCGACCATCACTGATGTGCTGCAGTTGCACTGCAGTTGCGCATTTGCACATTCTTGATGAATAAATGCGTCAGTGATGTTCGGTGTCAGTTGAGTCCCAGTGACAGTGTTGTCAGTGCAGTGTAGTCAGTAATTAGTGTTCAGCGTGTCGGCGATTTCAGTGCCAGTATTTCAGTGTTTGCACTGAAACTACACATCCCTAAGTTCAGATGTACGTGATTAATATAAAGTTTATGTTTTTTTCGCGATGAGCAATGATAAGTTACCCAACAATTGCTCAGCATCGACGTCGTTGTTGTAGTAACGTGCCATAAGAGTATCGACACGTTTTTGAATACCATTAGTAAAATTTGAACTTGGTCGACGTTTAGCACCTGTACTGAACCCATTCATCAGATGCATTGTTAGTGAAGAAAGCCGATTTCAACAGTTATACGTGCACATCAGTACATGTGCTAAACGGCGACCAAGTTCAAGTTCTACTAATGATATTTAAAAACGTACCGAGACTCTTATGCCACGTTACAGCAACAACGACATCGACTTTGAGCAATTGTTGGATAACTTATCATTACTCATCGCGAAAAACGCATAAACTTTATATTAATCGCGTACATCTGGACCTATCGAATCATTCACCTTTCTTTAGCTACGTATTTGACGTTATCAATGAACGTATTGTTCTTTTTTTTGAATGAAATAAAAGAAATATTTTATATTTTTCATCTAACAACATTTTCATTGATTCGACATTTTTTTCATTCGATTTTTTTTCTTTCGATATTTTTTCCTTCGACATTTGTTTTTTGAGATATTTTTTTCGACGTTTCTTCCTTCGACATTTTTTCTTTCGACATTTTCAATACATACCGCAAAAATACTTGCATGTAGCTTTTGCTGTATTATGCATCCACGTAGATTTTAGTTCATCTTGTATCTGCAAATAAAAGTTTTTACAAAATAATGCAAAGTCTAGCATAGTAAGTAATCAATAATCTATATGATCTTTACTTCTAGGTAAAAAGACTGACAAATACCGTTCAGCAAACGAAAGTGCAGTTTTTACAATAATCAGATAAAAGCGTGTTTGTCTCTTCGATGCAAATATCAAATAAAACAGTACATCTGATTTCAAACTTCAAAACAAAAACACGAGCAAGGTTCATATTTTGATATAAATAGCTGTTTGTCAGTAGTGTCAAACTTGAAAGTTGAATTCAAGTATTCAACTATTCAACTATTCCAGTTTTCAATTAGTCAACGCCTGGAATGCTACCAAAATCACCTAACATTGGCAGATATTGTCTGGAATGCTACTGGTATCACCTAGTACGCTACAGGATTCTCTAGAATGCTATCAGTATTACGTAGGATGTTACAAGCATAACCTAGGATGCTTCAAGCATCACCTGGGATGCTACAAGCATAACTTAGGGCGTGGGTGTGGGCGTAGATTTAGATGAAATCATGGCTTACAACCAGGCCCACCCTCGCCCTACATCCCATACTCCACATCTAACACCCACACCCACACACTCATACCCACCCTAGGTAGATTCTCAATTATTGACTAGACTTTCAAGAAGTCGACGCTAGGTGTCTACTTACAGAACACATCACATTGGACGTAAAAGCTGTTTATCAATGAAATCATCACTTTTTGACTCTTTTTCAGTTCTCATATTGATGACATCATCAGGGATGAGTTTCTCTTGGTAAAAAAATGCAAAAAATCTCCTACGATTGAAATCTAGCTTTTCGTACTGTTGTCTTATTGCGATGATTTTAAATTACTCGCACGACTTGTTTTGAAAACTTTTTACCCACAAAACACAAAAATCCGCAATGTTTTTTGTAGAAAATAATGTTTTCTTCGATTTTTCAAGAAGTATGCTTATTGTATTGCGAGCCCTGTCTTAAAATGACAAATTTGTTCATTTTATCTGATGTAAATGATTGCACTTTTCGCCACGTCCTTCTTTACGTGATAACTTCAATTGTTAACGGTTATATAAACTGACGCGTCACGATCTTCTTTTCCCCTGTATATTTCTATCACTGTTGGTCGTGCTTTGGAGTCTGTGAACGGTGCTTCTTCACATCTCGAGTTGGCTTATCAAACACGCACATCTCGTTAAACACACGAGATCATTAGTAGTGTGCGCAATTTGAACATGACACTCGTTCTCATAATCTAAAATAGGGGTGGCTCATTTGCTCTACTTTTTCAAAAAGTCAATAAGATACAGTAAATAAATTTACCGGTTAGTATATAGAAATAAAATGTATATATCTTCGTTTAGACAAGTAAGTCAGGCATTTATCTGTTTAGAAATGATACAATTCGTATGTCTTTTTCTACTCAAACATACTCATAAAAGAATTTGTCGCACAGATAGGGAGGAATCATTTACATTAATTGAAATTAGGCTTTGGCTGATTATTGAACCGTCAGCATTAACGGTTAACGAATTACTTAAACATTAATAGCAAGTTTAAGTTTTTCTGCTATCATATGTTTTACTTAAAATTAAGTGACTAAACGATTGAAGTGAAAACAATACTATACCAATTCGATCTTTTTCGGCCAGAGCAGGCTTATTTCAAGAAAAGTAATAATACTTTATAAAACTTGACTAAAATGTTGGAAATAGGTATCCTATCATAAAGAAAATCATATTTAAAAATCGCAACCAACCATGTAAAGATTCAGACTCCTTGACTCCAAAACTTATTAGTCAAGTTTTATAAAATTCAATTATTTTCTTGAAATAAGCTTGCTCTAACGGAAAAAATTGAAATGGTACAGTATTAACTTTACTTCAATCGTTTAATCACTTGATTTTAAGTAAAATATGTGTTTGTTATGGATATTAGCCATGATCTATTTCAACTCGTTGTCTTCTTTGATTCTCTTATGCCTTCTCTCTTCTGTGATTCCTTCGTTTATATCTGGTTTTATCAAGTATGTGGTGCATTTTCTTATGCATCACTTTCTCTCTGCGTCTGGTTTTGATACGTGCTTGAAATTTGAAGGTATAGGAGAGTGGGATAGTCTATTTTATGTGAGAGGAGCATTCGATGTATGCTTATGTTGATGTGAGGCGTCGAAGCGAAATGACATCAATAAAGATTCAGAGTGTTAGCATAAAAACTTGAACTTGCTGTTAATGTTTAAATAATTTGTTAATCGTTAATACTAACGGTTCAGAACTAGTCAAAGCTTAATATTAATTAATGTAAATGGTACGTCCCTATTTATACGACAAGTTCTTTTATAAGTACGTTTGAACAACGAAAAAGGCATACAAACAGTATCATTTTTCAAACAGATAAATGTGCAATTTACTTATCTAAACGGCATATACAACTTATAGTTATATATCCTCCTGAAAAAAAAAACAGTTTCAGGCCGTATTTCACATATATTGTCACTATAAAAACACATTTTTTTTAAACTAATTACATATTCTTGAAGCGCATGGAATTTTCTATCATCTTGTATATTCTTGTTTTAATTTGTACTTATGCATTACCAAAACAAATTGAGTACAAGAAAGACACCCTCATGTCCAGATTCACACAGGCTTGATTTTGTCACTCTCATCAAAATTAGTTTTTAAAATATTTTATTACTATAGAATTATCCTTTTAAAAAGAAAACATATTTTTTGATAGAGCTTCAAATTCTCTATCATCCTGCATATATTTGTATGGTCTTGCATTTATGTGCTGAAGAATAAAATGAGTACTATGGAGGAATGCTCCTTGACCGACCGTAGAAAAAGCTGAATTTTTTAACTCTCTCTTTCATTTTTAGTTTTAGAAGTTCAGATTGATCAACAATTTAAAGCATTGAAAAAACATATACTTATTCGTGTGAAAAGTTAGATCTATAGCGATCATGATTTTCATAAAAAATCGAAATAAAAACGGTAGCGATAGGAGAAAACCCAGTTTCTTTATGGTGTATCAAAAAAGGTGTCTATATATTACTCGATTATTCTTCGGCACATAAATGCAAGACAAGAAAAAAGATACAGGATAATAGATAATTTGAAGTTCTGTCAGAATGTATACCTAATTTAAAATAAAAGGTTTTTATAGTACTTATAATTGGAAAGCGCATGATTAGTAGCAAATTTTCATAGCTGTTAATTGAGGACATCTTCATTATATTCAAATTATTTTTCAAAAAATTAATGCAAGAAAATAGGAAAATATATTGAGTGATAGAGAATTTGAAGCTCTATCAAAATATATGATTGCTTTTTAAAAGGATAATTCTATAGTAATAAAATATTTTAAAAACTAATTTTGATGAGTAACAAAATCAAGTCTGTGTGAATCTGAAACATGAGGGTGTCTTTGTTGTACTGAATTTATTTTGGTAATTCATAAGTACAAACTAAAACATGAATATACAGAATGATAGAAAACTCCACGGGCTTCAAGAATATGTAATTAGTTTTAAAAAAATGTGTTTTAATAGTGACAATATATGTGAAATATGGACTGAAACTATTTTCTTTCGGGAGAATATTTTATTTACCTATTTATTAGTAAAGTAAAAGTAAAGTGTTACCCCTAATTTAGAATGTCTTCAGATGTTGCAACCGCTCTTTTTATCGTGCGCGTCGGAAATATTTTGATCGACACCGTTGGCACGAGCGTTATCATTTTGGGAACAGTTGGCAATCTATGTAACTGTTTTGCTTTTTTATGTATTCCGGCTCTGAGGAAACATCCAAACGCCTTCTTCGTGGCTGCTGCGGCAATTGGTAGTCTCGTTTTTATTGACACTAGCCTCTTGACGGCTGTTGTCCGAGCATTCAGAGGCACCGATCTAATGGTTATATCCTTCGTATGGTGTAAAATCAGTTATTGGATTAGTTATACAGCCGGCTCCTTCAGTTACATGTGCGGTTGCTTCGTAGCTCTCGAACAATATCTTCTTACACTACCCAGAGTAAAGTGGCACCGATTAATCACGCGTAACCGAGCCCGCTGCATAATCGTATCTGCAGTGCTTATCTGGCTTTTGATCTTTTTGCCACTAGTAATTTTCTACACGCATATTTCGACATCACCTACGACAGTTGTGTGTACTGGTTCGTTTCCCGTAATCGTTCGTTATGGTACCTACTGGCTTATAATTGGCTATTACTTTTTACCCATTGTTCTGATGAGCATTCTCTTTTCTCTCACTTGGTACAATCTAACGCAGCTTCACAGACGACGTCGTGCAATCGACGCCACCGTTACTCGCATGATGCTTATCCAGATGTGTGTTTTGCTCTTTAATGGCATTCCGGGGAGCATTTTCTATTGTTACAGTTTTGTTACGCAGCATGTCACTAAGACACTACTGCGAACGATATACGAGTATCTTATTTTCGTCA